TGTCAGCTCATGATGAAATCCTCCAACTAATATATTTTGTACCCGGTAGATAATAGAGAAGGATTCTTTAATGCTGGCTTTGTGGCTGGTTTGGACCACGTGGTCTAATGTCGACCTGTTGATGGTATGTAATGCACCTTTACTTAACCACACTGATAGATATTCCCCAGGCGCACGAAAAGTCAAGTTCCTAAAGCAAATGACAATATAACTCGCTCCTCCACAAGCGCAGTTGAATTGGAAGATACAATAAGAAGTGTCTAGTCTAGGTACTTCTTTTGTCGTACATGATGAGATACAAGAGGATAATTATGATTAAAGAGGGTGTTGAGAGTCCGATGTGAGTATGGGTTAAAGTGGTTATCTACAATAGTATTAATAAGTTTGTTTAGAGACAACCCACTTGCCCCATTGACAGCTTTAACTACTCGTCACAGTATAACAAATTTTTCATCTGAATTCCAGGAAAGATTAAGGTGGGGTGGAGGAGCGATAAAGAAGAGTAGGTAGGATACAAGAATTAACAAACTTAGAAAGTAGACACTGAGTGTCACCAATTTTCTCAACCTCTTTTTATAGAAGGTTGAACGAAACATTTTTCTACAAATAAATATGATTGTGGGAAGATCAGAAACGGTCAGGCGATCACAGTATGATAAAATAGGCTGAAATTATTAGGAAGTGATATGGTTAAGGGGTGAGTTAGGTTTAAATTTCGTCTAAATTTTGTTCATTGTTGACGATAAGGAAAGTGTCGTCGACGTAAGTATTACTATATAACACACTGTGAGACTTTACTAAAATAAATTTTACCTATAATAGGATCCAGCGTGTGCCTATCTTCCCCACTTCGTAGAGTCTTCCGTATGATCAAGTTCACTGCAACCAGAATGAGCATTGGTGATTAATTAATTAGGTGATTTGATTAACACTTAAAATACTCTGGATAAACTAACAAAAACACTATTTGGTTCCAATATTTTCAATTCAATGAATATCTTGTTATCTTTGCTATTTGATTGTTTGCGTGAACTTTGAGCAGTGGTACTCTAGGTGATAGCATAAGAAAACCAAAGAGAAGAAGTATATGTGTAAAACTTGGGCACTGCGGTAGTAAGTAATTCCATATTAGTTTTTTTTATTAGATGTATCACACAGTGAGTGAAACAGTATTATTTACTGGATGACGAGGTTTCGAACAAAATTTATTTATTGTTCATCATCATATCAATTATAATCACACGACTTCGAGATTTGAGTTTTTCCTTTGTTCTCTCCTATTTGTTAGGGTGGTAGGATTTTCCAGATGTCCGACTGGACAGGTGTTGAATCATTCTTACTACATGTTTCCAGTTGATTCGATAAACAAAGCTTCCGTTGTAATCAATCTCTCACTCCACCCTGTTACATTAGATATTAAGACTATCATCTTATCCCATCCTATTGTATGATTGTATTGTGTCTAACTGCATATAGCGAGTGCTATGGCTGAACTATTCTCTAGATTTCTTATCTTATTCGGATCAACTAATCTAGATTTTCCTAAGTTTTTGTGCTGCTCCGCTGTTATAACTGATGCCGTTCTCCTACTTTTACCTATGTATTTGACCTGACAATCACTCCAGCAGGGTATTAGATAAACCAAATTGTTTTGTTTTGAAGGCTCCACAGGATTGATCCTTTAACCGACAAAGCTTGTTTCTAATTGAGTTTGTGGGTTTGAATGCCAGCCACTTTTATTCCTGCCTGCCTTGTTCAGGATTTTGCATAAGGTTTCCGAGGTTCATTCCTTGTATGGAAGTACTACTGATGATTTAGAATCCTTATTGTTGGTGTTGTAAAATGGTTGTAAAATAGTTAAAATTCAATACAAAAGAAGTAATTTGGAAACTGCTTCAACACTACGGCGTACGGTACCCAAGTCATAGTTAACCTCATTTAAACATTTCACTACATAACAGTGCCACGTGTCAATTGATCGACAGTGAAAAACTCAGAGGGACGTTCAAAGTGAATACAGGAGTATAAGAAGGCTGCCTGCTTATTATTGCAGATGATATGCCTAATTGTGGTAGAGTGGATTATGCGTCAGACTGTACACAGGGAGAGAAAATACAAGAATATGTTGGGCTAATGTAAACATTCTGTGCGTCGGTGGTATAGCGGTTAGGACGCTCGCCGACTATGCACATAGTCCGGGGTTCGACCCCCGGCCGATGCACTCCTTTACCTCGCTAAGCCAGAAATAATGCTGGTAAAGAGGAAAGGTTGGGCATGAGGCTGGCAACCCCATCCTGTAAAGTAAACACTGCTACAGAAACTTCAAGCCACTAGCTTGAAGCCCTATTTTGATGTGGTTTTGTTCTCTGAGCTGGATGGTTAATTTGGGAAGCTTTCATCACCCTACTGGGTGACATCTTCAGCACATACTTCAATTTGAAGTGAGCTTTTGGATTTCTCCACGATTTTATTAATCATCTCTCCTGGTGACCTTGGACGTGATTGGTTGTTTATGTGTGTTTTCACATCTTCTAGGTTACTTGTACTGGAACTGACTGTTTCTTTGACTTGAACTTTGACCCTTTGTGTGTGAAGAAAGAAACTTCAAAGTTCAAAAATGAACGAATCAATAGACAATCTTAACATGATTGGTTGTAATGTCATGTGACAACAAGGTCAGACATGTTTGTTAGTTAGTGGACGGACAAAAACATATTGTCAATTATAATGGAATATCGATCCATATATACACAGCAAAATATAACAGACTGTCAAAAGCAAACACACATATTATGTGGATACATATCAAGAGGGATAGGGCATACATTCAGAAAACCGTCGAATGACATCTCGCGCCAACTGCATTAAAGCAAGAACAATATAGTACCACCGCTAATTTCGTTGACTTTTCACTAACCGCCTATAGCCTGAATAAATCATTGAGTTCATGTACTGAAACGTTTTAACATATTTGTAAATTTCACGTGATTTCAGTTGACATGAGATTGCATAATAAGTGAACAGTGCTCAGAAAATTACACAAGCAGTTCCAACTGAAACAAAGTAAATGTATGGTAAAGTAGTCGCGTAATAAAAACGAGAGATGCTCAAGATGCTGAATGACTATTAAATTGGGCAACAATGTACTGAGTTCAACTCAAATCATAGAAAGAAGAGACATATTCATATATGTGTAAAACTTGGGCACTGTGGCAGTAAGCAATTCCATATTAGTTTGTTTATTAGATGTATCACAGTCAGTGAAACAGTATTAGTGTTTATTGGATGACAAAGTTTCGAAGACAGTTCACTTATTGTTCATAATCATTGCATCAGTTACAATCACATGACATCGATGCTGATGACACATTTGCAGTGTGCAACAATAAAAGTCATGTTTCCCACCCACTCAGATTATTCAACGACAACACATACCAATACTGAATTTACTATGGAACGTGAAAACGATGAAAATTTCCATTTCCTCGACACTGTCATGAAAAGCCTAGAAGATGGTAGCCTCCAGAGGTCAATTTAATGTAGGCATACATGCAATCGACAATACCTATACTTTTATAGCTTTTGTCCAAATAGCTTTAAACGCGGTCTAGTCAAGACTCTGTACTATAGAGCCAAGTGAGATTATGCTCTTTAGAGAAATTAGAGGGAGAATTTGTTTCCCGAAAAGATGTTGAAAAGCAACAGTTACCCTCAGAGGTTCATTAACAAGTACGGAAGATCTGAAGACTCAAATATCAAGCAAATCATAGTGGAGAAAAAGCCTTTCTTCATTCAACTAGATTTTAAAGGTGAATACATTGCAGCAGTGGTCAACAGAAGATTTAGTACGTCACTAGCCATAGCCTATCCTGCAGTTAAGCTCGTTCCTGTCTATCGAACAACTTGCCCTTTGGTGCAATCAAAAATCGATAGATATCCTTCTCATGTTGCCTCCAACTGTGTATACAAATTTACATGTATCTGTGAGTGCAGTTACATTGGAAGAACACAAAGAAGGGCATATCTCCAACTTTCTGAACATGTACCAAAAAGCCTATGTCTAAAGGGAATAAATGCTTTAAACAGTGTCATCGCCACGCATCTCCTCGACACGGGTGATGCATGAGGTGGACGTCGAAAAGTCGTTCAAAATGATCAATAGGCAAAACAGTTTAATTCTTCTTAAGTTTGTCGAAGAGATCTTCATCAAGCTCCTGAAACCCTTTTTATGTGTTCAGAAAGAAGCGGTTATCAGTTTTTCTTTGAGTTGGTAACTGAATATGTTAACCCTATATTTCATCTGATTACGTAGTGTAGAAAGTTTCCATTGTGTATGATAATTGTTCTTCAGGATAAAGTGTTTATTATTATTACATATATTATTATTCTATACATATTACTGATTGATTTTTGTTTAAAAATGAACTCTCTGCCATTATTTATTATTGTTATTGTTTCCTTTAGTTCCTGGAGGAACATATGGCTTCAGCCTCAAGTCCCCATTGCGTTTGGTTCTCTGCCAATGTTTTCATCTGGCTCCACGTCTACCCATACGCTTTCATCTCCTCTTCAAATGACCTCCGCCATGTCACCCTCACACTGATGACCTACTCGCCTCTTCCCCTTTCGGTTTCACTCGACAGCCTGTCATGTGATGTCACTTGATGGTTTTCTCAGAGTATGACCAATCCACCTCCAATTCTTCCTGCCTATTTGTTTCAAAATCGGTTCCTAGTTGGTTCACTCACTGTCAGAGATCCCTGTTGCTGGTCTTTTCCGGCCATCTGATCTTGAGCATTGTTAAGATTGTTTCTGTAGATATACTTAATAATGAATGACTTTGGCTTGTAAGCAGTTGATGAGAAGCCAACGAAATAAACAATGATGATAACATCTTCTTATTCTGCACAAACCACTGTTGTTCTTGCTTTATTCAAATTCATTAAGGGGTATATAAATGAATGAGATGATATCCTTTCAAAAAACACAGCTCAACTTACCTTCGACCTTTTGCTCCTAATATTATTTGATTTGAAGTAATAATACTGGACACGAGTTTCTGGTCTACCTCCCTTACCACTCGTTGACTTTCCATATTTGGCTTTTAATTCAATATCTTTAAGAATACGACATTGGCCTGTTTTAACAATGTAGATCCGATTGCTTTGATTACTATCTAAACATATTGTCATATTACGTCTGTAAGGCAAGGAAACATGAAAGTCGTACACGAAAGAAGAAATATATATATAACGGCAAAGAAAATATTCTCTTCGACGATTCACTTTTTTTCAAGAGTTAAGCAGTTTCATACAAGTGGTTCCCTTGATAAATTTTGATAGAGAAAGAAAGACCAGATTTGCAATATAAAATGATATCATCATTCTATTTCACAGTTTCTCATCAGCTGCAAAATAACTTAAATTACAATGGTTATAAATAGTGACATTTCACACTTCAATGTTTGAAAGGTAATGAAGAAAATGTTATAAGATGAAGAGAAGAAAGTGTTCATTCGTCTCCTCCCATTCAAAGGAGAAGCAGTACCACAAAAGATTGACAAGGGAATGAAAGGAGCAATAAAAAGATGCTTCCCAACTTCAGCTAGGCTGGTGACACCATAGAGGACTACATGCTCTATAAGCTAAACGAAACTGGATAAATATCCTGCTGATGTTACCTCCAACTGTATTTAGAAACTTACGTGCACATGCGAAAGCAAGTACATTGGAAGGACAGAAAGAAGGCAGGGCTTCTATCCGGTTTCCATAGCATATTCGAAGAAATTTATGCCTAAACGGAAGTAGATATTAACAAAGTGCGATTAGCAGACACCCACCCTGTGGATACGGGTCATTTTGCCGAGATTTCCAAATTCTTCAAAATATTAAACACACAAAAGAGTAAATCTACTACGATTTGCTGAAGCGATTGCAATCAAACGTCTCAGATCAAACTTATGGACACAGACAGAGAGAGTGTAGTCAATCACTCACTCCCTTGGTAACTATATTACTTTCATTACACTGATTAGTCATACACACTAGTGAGCTCAGCTCACTAAGCATGATTTCAGTTTGATGAACTTTAACCTGCAAACTAACACTGTTTACTAGATTTTTTTCTGTTTTCTGTCTCCTCTCACCCCCGCCTTTCTATTTTTCATATAAATATACATATAAATTGATGGTAACTTAAACTAAAAATTGTAATACTTACACTATTCTGGATGCGTTCATCTTATAATGTTTTCTCTATTACCTTTCAAACATTGAGGTATGAAATGTTATTATTTTTATAACCATTGTAATTTCAGGTAGTTTGCAGTTAGCTGATGAGATCCTGTAAAATAGAATGATGATGCCATTTTATACTGCAAATCTGGTCTCTTTTTCTCTATCAAAAACTATCATTCCACTTTATACATGTACGCAACCCCAATGCAGACAGTTTCTGATATACTTTTCATTTGCCTTTACTGGTTGACTGGTTGTATTTCAATATTTCATGGACTTATAACTGTGGATCCTAGATAAGAAGTTATCGAAAACAAGTGTCCACTCAAAATTATCTTGTTTTGATTACATTATGGGAATATTTAAATTAATCCGTCACAATATTCTAGGTACTTAACTTTTCATGAAAACTACTACTAATAATAATGGCTTCCTTCCAAGTAGCACATTCGATACAATGTGGAATTTTCAGCATGTAATAAACATTGAAACCAACTTTTTCCTATTACAATACCTAATAAGAGGGAATTAATAGTTGAGCACTTATATTGATAATACTGTCCAACAATTAGTTGCTATTTGATAAATTTGAATAAGGCATCTGGAAGAGAAATTTCGACAGATGGTATCGTAGTTTCGTAGTTTTGCTACAACCGCTTTACAACTAACGTGGTTCACAATAGTAAAATAAAATGCGATTCATGACAATTACTCAGTTATATAAAACAAAAGTACATACTCCACTAATGACCAATCATATTTAAACAGATCAAGTATACTCGCCGTGGTAGGCGAAGATTGAAGTCTATTGTGCGTTTTTTTGTACACATAGTTCAAGATGTGTACGATTCGTCCAAAGAGCTTTTGTCATGAGAGCTGTTTGCAAGCCAAAAATTGTAAACAACAATTAACGTCAATGTTTACGTCCCAAATCAGGGTCATGAGAAAAAACGAGATCAAAGCCTAATCTTGAGGAACTCAACAACCAATCACTGCAGACTTGGCGTGGGCGGATACAATTCTCAGATATATTTCAATGGACTGTCTAGGTAACTTCAACAAAGAGATGACAGAATCACCTTCATCAGGAACACAACCAATCCGAAGACGCTGCTTCTCTGCTAACAATGACGCTAATAATAATGTACATAAAAATCTATAGACATCTGTTGATTTTCTGAATAAACGATCTGTTTCCTGGCCATTGTCTTCCGTCGCTACATTTCCATCGCCTTTAATAACCAACCTTGAATTAGAGTTGTGTGATGAAACAGTTGTGAAGTAGTTTTTAATATTGATTTTATGACTTGAAATTAATAAGTGCTTTGCAAAGGATGATGCTGGATTTCTATTCAGATTAACTGCACTGGGATTTTCTGTATCTTAATAACCACTATGGAATATGTCCTTTTCGACGACCACGCTGGAACATTCTAATGATTCTGCCTATATATGTGTTACTGCCACTGCAGGTGAACTTGTAGATGCAGTTTGAAGTAGAGTTCACAGAATGTCGTTTTTTGATCATAGATGTAGTGAGCGGAAATGTTCGAGATGTGAGGGACGGAGATGAGGCTAAGAATGTGCGTTTGATGGCTGACCAAAGTCTTTGGGCTATCAACCACATAAATTGATCGTCCTTGAATGGTAGGTTAATAAAGACAGATAGCTTTCTTTGGTTCAGAAGGTGCCTTTTCAACATGTGGTCTTTCCTTACTGTGGCAGTTGACAATAGAATGTTCCAATGTGGTCGTCGAAAAGAACATGTTCCATAATGGTTATTAAGACACAGAAAATCCCAATGCAATTAATTTGAATAGAAATTCAGCATCATCCCTTGCAAAGTATTTATAAAGTGTCAAGTCACAAAATCAATCAGTAATAATGACGGCTTCACAATTATTTCACATAAATCAAATTCAAGGTTGGTTACTGAAGGTGATGGAAGCACTTTGGAGGATTAATCACATACATCCTAAACTATGTGTACAATAAACAATAGACTTCGGCCTTCACCTACCATGGCGAGTATACTTAACCTATTTAAATATGATTAGTCATTAATATGTACTTTATATTTATATAACTGAGTGATTTGTAAGCATTTTATTTTTGTGAACCATGATAGTAGTACAGCGATTGTAGAGAAACTACGAAATGATCGTATCATCTGGCAAAATTTGTCTTCTAAACGCCTTATTCATAACTAAGATTTTACACGTGAATTGTCGTCAAGTGATATAGAGTATACACATCTGATCATTATTCCCTAAGATATAGAGTAGTTTTCAAGTTTTGGCTTGAAACGATGTGATTGATTTCATGTCCGCTCACAGACCGGCTTTACTTAGAGGACCAACAGGGAGTATTGGACCGATATTATGTCCTTCTTCGAGATCCCATAATCCTACTAGACACTCAGGTCACAAGGGGACCTCTCGGACCACCTAGCCACTGGGACAAATCTCAACGGCCCATGAATCCCAGCTTCTGCCGACTTGCGATTAACGTGCGCATAGAATAATGTTGGTTTGATAGGCTACTATTGGTGCTATGTTTAATGATTTGAAATCGAGTGGAAATCTTGGTAGCCCCAAGATTCTAACAAATGAGATCCAGATTAATGATCCGACACTTTGTCAAGTAAGATCCCCCAATTTGGAATTTTACTTCAAGACTGGTTTCAAACGATACAAACCGGAATGTAAACAGCCATATGTGAGTACAATCTACACAAGCATTCTCTATTCCTAGAAGTACGGTTTAGTCTGAAGAAGTAAATGATTGACTGGATCACGGAATGTCAGTCAATTAGTCAGCGCTGCTAAGGCCGATTTCGTCTAATTTGGCTGAAAATGTCTTCTAAATGCCTTAATCAAAAAATTTATCAGTAAAAGAAAGAATTAAAAACGGCTATTTACGCAGTTATTTAGTTGTGTCACACCTTAAACACTTATCTCATCACATAAAATGTTTCCCAACCAAAAAACCAGAAAAGTTAACAAATTTAGAAAGTAGAAACTGAGTGATATAATACTGTTTTAACTTCCTTACGTAGAAGGTCAGTCGAAATATCTTTCCAGAAACTAACATGGTGAAAGAAGTCCACGAAATGTAAGAGGAAAGATATAACCCTGATGGATGATTTTGATGTGGTTGTGTTCTATGAGCTGGATAGTTAATTTGCGAAACTTTTATTGCCCCACTAGGCAACATCTTCAGCGCATACTTCAATTTGAAAGACATAACCCAAGGTATTTAAATTTAGGTAATTAATTAGTTGGTCTTACAAAAAATATTTGAATAATAAAACGGAACCATCAGCTGAAGACAACTGATCGATTACTTGACATGGTATAAATTAAATTGTACGTAAAAATGAAATGTGCTCAGCTTCTTTATCATGTGAATTTTGTAAAAAGATTTTATTAAATTCATCTTGTGATATAACCAGCAATTCCACTGATGTTTTACACATTATTGTTGCACTTCTATTACTGCGATAAATTAAAGCCAATTCCTATTAGGTGAAAAGAAAAAAATATAAGTATAACAGATATCATAATATGAATATATATCAAAACGTATTTATCTTACTCAATTCACTGTATAAGTAGTATAATTAAACATCGTGAATTGATACCATTTAGACGTCATGGGTGAATAGATTCCGAGGACTGGCATCGTAACCTGAGTGTCTTGGGTCCGATATGTGTTCACTGGTACTGTTGAAGAGTCCCAAAATAGGATGAAAAAGTTGTTTGGTGCTCTTTGCTAATTTGAAGTGGTTCTCCAACTGATATCAATCTGTGATCAAAATCGAAGGATAATATTTATTTTAGATGTTGGTGATTATAAGTTGAATCTAGAGTGGGACTCGTCGGTAGCATGTAGGTATCTGAATCCCTAGTGCGTTTTGAACCCACCAGTCATAGTTTGAAGTGCTAAAGAGTTATTCAGTAGGTCATGAGAGCTACCACTTTTGCAACGGTTATCAGTTATTTGTGAGTGACGTCGTTTATACTGAGACTCGA